CATAGGAGGAGCTCTTATGTTGCCCCTCCTAAAAGGAAGCACACCTGCTGGGATGCCCAACAGGTACAATGCCATTCGGCACTGCTCACCTCTTCTCAGGAGGGTCTGGTATGAACAGGATGCCTTGTGGATTTCCTTATGTGTCCCTTAAGCAGCAGCTCCCCCAGCTTGACCCCCAGCATCCCTTGGGTTCCAGATGTGCCATGTGACTCCTCTCTGGGCCCTGACCATCCCTGCCCCCCCCACTCAGGAAACCTTCCCTGCTCCCCCTGGTCTTTAACAGTAATCCCCGGGGCAGCTAGGTGGTACAGTGGATAGAGCACCAGCCCTGAAGTCAGGAGGACCTGAGTTCAAATCCAGCCTCAGACCAAACACTTGAAGCGTAATGACTGTGTGATCTTGGGCAAGTCACTTAACCCCGATTGCCTCACAAAACAAAAACAAAAAAAAACCAAAAACAGTAATCCCTTTGGACCTCAAAGAGCCCTTGGTTTGGGAGTCTTTTTAAGGCCCTCCTCAAGGTCCGGTCAAAGTGCTTCTCCCACATAGCCACCACTGTGGCACCGCTGTCAGAGGCAGCGAGCACCTTGAGGGCGGGGATTAGCCTGACTTCTATTGGTATCCCTACAGCACAGGGCTCAGGACAGAGTGAGCACTTAACAAGTGACCCTGGGTCCTTGTGGGTGACGCCCACTAAGCTGAAGCTCTGGCCGGCCTTCCCAAGCTGGAGCAGTCTGGACACAAGCCCAATGATGGACTCCGTGTTTGCCCTGAGAACCAGCCTAGATGCCTGGAGGCTCATTACCATCTTGGTCACACAGCGATGAACTTTTCAGCCCAAATGTGTTCCAAAGACCATCTTCTCGACCAGCAGGCCTCAGGACCCCTTTACACTTTTAAAATTACTGACATCTCCTTTGCACTCTTAAAACTTGAGGACCCTGGGGCAGCTAGGTGGTGCAGTGGATAGAGCACCAGCCCTGGAGTCAGGAAGACCTGAGTTCAAATTCAGCCTCAGACACATAATACTTACTAAGCTGTGTGACTCTGGGCAAGTCACTTAACCCCATTGCCTAGCAAAAAAACAAAACAAAGCAAACAAAAAAAAAAAACTTGAGGACCCCAATGAACTTTTGTTCATATGGGTTATACAACTGCTATTTACTATATTAGAAATAAAAACTGATATACTTTAAAATATTTATGTATTATTTACCTTAAAATGATAATAAATCTATTATGTGTTACCATAGATCATATCTGTTATGAAAAATAACTATATTTTCCAAAATAAACAAAATTCAGTGAGAAGAGTCACACTGTTTCACTGATTTTTGCCAATCTCTCTAACGTTTGACTTATTAGAAGCCAGCTGTATTCTCTCTGCCTCTGCCTTCAGTCTATCGGGATGGGTTGTTTTGGCTGAAGTACAGGAAGAAAACCCAGCCTCATGCTGATAAGGAGTTGGAAAAGGAAGGAGCATTTTACTAGATAAATAATGTCTTGGTATCATGATGCAAATCGTTTTGATTTCCAGGAAGGGTCTCAGGGACACTCAGGGGCCCATGGACCACCTCTGAGAACGTCCGGTTAAGCCCACAGAGGGATGTGCAGTCTGCAGCCTGGCCCACGCACCCACCCTAGAGGAAATCACCCCCTTGAAGTATTGGCTGTGCATTATACATGCGGCATCCTGGAGCTCCCTGAAGACATCGCCTGGAATACCGGGCACCACGAGTCTGCACCAAATACGTACTTAATAGCCTATGGCTGGGGCCCAGACACAGGCCCAAGCCTGCCTCAGTATCCACTACCCACACAACTCCAGGCCACAGTCCTTGGCCCTCCCTCAGCCCTCGCTGTTCCAACTCCAGGACCTCTGAGCCCCTCCAGCTCTAAAGCCAGGATTCTGGGACCCTGTGCTGTCTTTGGCTGGTCCTCTGAGATAAGCCTCACGTCTCTCCTCTCCCAGGGCTCACCTTCTAGCCCCACAGCTACAGACAAGGTAAGAGACTCACCTGCAACCCTCCAAGGTGCTGCTGAGCAGAGAGGGAGGCCGTGAGCAGCCAGCCTGAGCACAGGAGGGCCGTCTCCTTCGTGGGGGGGCCCTGGAGTGCAGAGGCAGGGGCCGGTTCCATCCACGTGAGCCCCAGGGTCTTCTGCAGCAGTGTGAGGAGAGGGGTGCTGGACAGAAGCACGGCCACCGCTGCAAGGGGAAAATGTGGGCCCCACATGGTCATAAGAGAGCAAGGCCACAGCCGCCAGGCACCAGGTGCCAGAGAAAGCACCCAGGACTAGGGAGGGAGCAGG